ATAGGGTTTTGGGGGCTCCTGAGTATAATTATAGTATTCTAGGCCCCAAAACCCTGTTCTAATTGTTAAAGGTTTCTTTAAGGGCTGTATAAACGGGTACTACAGAGGGTTTGGGGTTTGGAGTTGAGGGTTTGGGGTTTAGGGGTTAAAGGGAATCCTTACTCCAAAAGGACTCATAGTTTAAGGCTTTTGCACCCAACGACCCTGTTTTTGTTAAAGGCTTCCTTGGCATTCAAGCCTGAAGGTAATCTAGGGGCCTTAGTAATTGAATAGGGATTTGGGGGATCCTTAGTATAATTACAGTATTATAGGCCCTATAACCCTGTTCTAATTATTAAGGCCCCTACATTAATCCTTACCCTCAAAGGACACTTTTTGTTCTGGACTTTTGGGCCCAAAGTCCCTTTGTTATAGAAGGCTCAAAGGGTAATGCAGGGGCCTTAATAAGTAGAATAGGGGTTCCTGCAAGGGGATCCTTAAAGGGTTCTTTAAGGGATCTATAAGTGTTCTATAAGGTAGGGGCCTTCATGATTATAGTAGGGTTTGGGCGTGGTCGGGGGGTATATTCTGTTATATCTGTAATCAGGAACGCGCAAAATAGTATAGGTAAACAGTGGGGCCTCTATTTTGCACCCGAAACCCGAAACCGCAATCCCTATGCCCGAACTAAACAAGCCCAAACCCCACATCCAAGCCTTAAGCCCTAAGCCCAAGCAGTAAACCCCAAATGCCTGTAGTCTCCATTTTAGTTCCTTCCTCTGGTTTAAGCAATTTGTAAACAAGCCCTAGCGCCATGCAGACTCTACCTGAAAAGCTGGGTAGGTAACCTGTAGCCTTTTGGGGTTTGTATAACCCTACCATACCTACAAAGATTAAGTTTTCTTGGGCTAGGGTACGTACTCAAGGCTCTAGCCCAAACCCTAAATCCTAAACCCTAAACCCTAAACCCCTAAACCCCTGAACCCCTAAGCCCTAAACCCTATAAGCCAAACCCTAAACCCCAAAATCCCACGCCTTGCATGGGACCCCTTCATCTTCCAATCGACTCAGAGGAGCGACGAATTCCAGTTGGCAAATATGGGTTTAGGGTTTAGGTTTTAGGGTTTAGGGTTTAGGGTTTAGGGTATGCAAATACTTGGAGGCCCAGAGGACTTCGTAAGTAGGTTATAAGTAGAGTTACAGGTACCCTAAGCGGAGTTGCCCCAATTATAACCCTACTCTTAACCTACTTACTAAGTCTTCTGGGCCTCCAAATATACTACGCCAGGACCCTCCCAGTATATTTCGAATAGGGGCTATATGGGTCCCCAATAGTTGGTACTTAGGCTGAAAATAGAGGGTCGAAGGAGGGCCTAGGTAGTGCTTAGAGTTTGGGGTTGGGGATATGGGGTGTCAAGTTTGGTTTTTGGTTCAACTTTGTGTACGTGACATCACCGCAAAGATGGTGCCACAAAGATAAGGGGTTTGGTGTTTGGGGTTAACAGTTTTAGGCTTCCGTGTTTAGGGAGCCTTTGCGCAACATAATCAAGCCCTCTCTCTTCCTGGGCTTTCGAGGGCATTAACCCAAAGGGTCGAGAAAGCACCTACTATAGGGGCTTTAATAATTACCCATCTTATTTTTTTGGGGGTTCCTCATTATAGTTATTGTATAACATACCTCAAAACCCTATTCTAATCATTAGGGCCCCTATATTACATAGTACAGTGTAGGGTTTCTATAAGTTGAATTACTATTATGATTTGAGGAAGTATCCCTCTCAACAGTACCTGGCACTCTTTGAATAATGATTGCATTGTAGTCGGGGGGAGTTGGGTCTGTGGTCCACATGGCTGTTGGGTTTAGGCTCTATGGGTGGATATCGAGTCCTCTTGACGGTTCTAGTTTTAAAGGGTCCTAAGTACGTATATACTAGAATGTAGGGTTTGTATAGTCAGAATTACTGTTGTGGTTTGGGCAAGTATCCCCCCATATCGGTGCATAGGACTCTTTGGGAGCATAAGGGCTTCAATGACTAGTAATGGGGCTCCTCGAAGGCATGGCTTTGTATACATAGGACGTATTTGCACAAGAGCGTCTTTAAGAGCTAGTAAGATGCATGACGACAAGGGCCACTGCGAGGGTCCATACCGCAAGGGCATCCAAAGCTAGCCTTATGTTGGGCTGGTTGTAGTGGCCAAGGGTTCCAAAATGAAGATGGTGCAATCTGGAAGCCTGGGTAATCCAAAACCCCAGACGTTTCAAGTGTAAGCATGATCGAAACCCAGCAAGCCACCCTAAACGCTAAACCCTAACAATATCCGAGGTCAGTCCAAGAACTTACATCCTAGCGAGTTCTGCCCTAAACCCTTGGAAGACCCTTATAGAACCCGTAAAATAGGAACCCGGAAGCGCTTGAGCGAGCCGAAGACATCTTGGGCCCTAAACCCCTTAACCCTAGGCCCCCTTACGACCCCTACACCCTGTGAAACCTTAAGATCTTAAGCCCAACCGAGGATTGCCAATGCCAATACGGTTCTCAAGATCTTGGCAGAGTTCCAGGCATTGACGTTTTAGGGCTTTGGGTTTTAGAATTTCCTGTTTAGGGGTGTAGGGCTTGGGGCTTTAGGGTTCAGCCTTCAGCATTTTATATTACAGGCCGCAAGGGGATTAAGGTTTACCTGGAGTAACCAAGTAACCAATATACTTTGAAGAAAGGGGAGACGACCTGAAACCAGGTGGGTCTCCCTTTGCTTTAAGGTACTTTGGTTACTCTAGGTTTGGTTACTCTAGCCTCAAAGGAACCTTAAACCCTCAACCCCGTAAGCTCTAAACCCAAAACCCTAAACTGTGGCACCTTCAATAGAGCCCTACAAGAGCCCGGCTTGTTGTTTTCGGATGCAGCACGCCTTTGAAGTTCTCACGCTGTACGGGGTTAGGGTGGATGCTGCTACGTTGCGATTCTAGGTGGTGCAGCTACTGAGGCGGTTACATTATACTTCTAACCATTATTATCTCATGCGCATGTATGAAATTACATACGCAATCTTCTTGCTTATTATGGCCATACGTTCAGGAGCCCAAACTCCCAGTCTGATTGCTTTCTAGCCATTACCTGATCATGCGCATGTATCAAATTACGTAAGTAATCTTCAGTCAGCTTTTCGGTTCCTCCACCGGAAACGTGCATTGTTCCCTCAGAAAGCTCAAATGAAGAACAGCACACACACACACACATATATATATATAGATAGTATATATNNATATATACTATCTATATATATATATATATACACATGTATTGTATCAACCCAATAGTGAGTGCCTCGTTCCTCCCGGCTTTGGTTTAGGGCTTTAGGGTTTAAGGAGTCACCATCAGGTCTCAGCCGCTGATGTGTCGGTGCCAGAAGCAACCGCGGACATGTGGGAGACCGTACTCAGGGACAAGGACAGCCAAGGGGCGCAGTCTGACAAATTGAGGTGTTAATAGTGGAGTCTAGACCCCTGATGAATGAACCCCTCTGCACTCTTACGGATTATACGAGGAATCGTAGCATTACGGACCTTCACGAGGGGGGGTTGGCGAAGATAAGGGACGGTATTTATAATGCATTTTACAAACGGGATTCCCGTTTGTCACTTTTGGGGGGTTCGGCGTCCATGCTTTA